TTGGGGGCACGCACCCCAGATCACGACAGGACCAGCGCGCCTAGGCGCGGGGGTTGTCTGCGAGGCTGCGCCCGCGCGCGGGAAAATGGGCCGCCAATGACCGTTACCCGCCTGGTGTCCACGCGAGACGCTGGAAAAGGAAGGGAGGAGGCCTGACCCTAAGGTATAGATGAGGGATTCACTCAGTGGGGGATAGGACTGTCCTGGGATAAGGAGAGAAGGAAGTTTGAGTAGAGAGGACTCCCCTAGATTGAGGGAAAGGCGCTTCCCTAATAGGAAACTGGACTCCCCCAGTATGCAAGGGGTGATTTTCTCTGTACGGGGTGTGTGTGTGTGTGTGTGTGTGTGCGTGCGTGCGTGCGTGCGTGCGTGTGTGTGTGTGCGCGCGCGCGTGTGTGTAGGCTTTGTGTAAGGAAAGCTGCGGGGAGGATGGGAGATCACAACTGTGAGGGGGACATCTGAGTGCTAGGAGAGTAATAGGAAAGTGGACTCCCCAGTATGCAAGGGGTGATTTTCTCTGTATGGTGTGTGTGTGTAGGCTTCTGTGTGAGGAAGGCTCCGGGATTTTCTCTGTACACGTGTGTGTATGTGTGCGCTTCTGTGTGAGGAAAGCTCTGGGATTTTCTCTGTACGTGTGTGTGGTGTGTGTGTAGGCTACTGTGTGAGGAAAGCTCCGGGGAAGATGGGAGATCACAACTGTGAGGGGGACATCTGAGAGCTAGGAGAGTAATAGGAAAGTGGCCTCCCCAGTATGCAAGGGGTGATTTTCTCTGTATGGGGTGTGTGTGTGTGTGTAGGCTACTGTGTGACGAAAGCTCCGGGGAGGATGGGAGATCACAACTGTGAGGGGCACATCTGAGGGCTAGGAGAGTGCAGTTGGGTCAGTGTGAGGTGCAAGCTGGAGCCAGCAGCTGTCGATGTTAGTTGGGACCACTTGAGATGGGGGGTTTCAAGGCAAGTTAAGGGGTTTGGAAGGAAGAGGCGTCATAAGGCACCGAGTCTACAAGGGAGATACAGAGTTGAAGAGTCTAGGCCTGCCTAAGTGGAGGAGGGAAATACACATGAAATAATTTTGAAAAGCTGTTACGTATTTTTAGGTTGACACGTTTCAATCTGAGTTTAAATAAGCTTGAGTTTTGTAATGGAAAGTAAAATGACATTATAAGAGTTATGAAATAGGATGAGGGCTGACTACATTGGAATAAGTGTTTTATGAAATGATTTGATAAAATGGCTTCTAAGATAATGTGCCTAGAATGAAATAAATCTTTAGTTTTTTAAATCAGTGTGTCTTAAAAAATTTTTGGTGGCCCCAGACAACATTTCAGGTATATATGTATAAGAATCATCACTAATATATATTGCTTTGCCTATTCCTGAATTCAGAACATACCCCTTTGGGCCAGCTTTACCCTTCACAGAAATGTGGGTGAGACAGAGAAAGTCAATCACAGTATGAAAAAAAATGCAGTGGGGTTTAAGGTACCAGGAAATTTCCTGTAATCTACTATGATTCCACAGTCTCTTATTAAAAGTTCTGAAATCCAAAAAGCCCTGAAAACAGAAATCTTTCTTAATTTGGGCATCAAAGCTAGATATAAAGTAAGACTATTCAATGCTACTATTTTACATGTTTATTTCTCCTACTTAATGTGAAAATTATTCCTTTTACTGTAGATATATTAAAGCATTTTATTATGGCAGGATACCCCTGGCCATGCTGGGAGTGTTAGGTAATATATGGTAGATACAGAGAAATGCATTTGTAAAATTAAAAATAAAAATACTCCCCCACCCAAGATGAGAGATTATAGACCAGTCTTTCCAGTTTTGCTTTTGTTTGTACCCTGGAGGTTTTAATCCCCCCCCCCCCCCCCCACCCCCCGCTTTCCCCTTGGGGCAATACAGCCTACTGAGATGGGGGATGTTCCCTTTATTTTGCAGAGTGGAAAGAAGGATGATTAGATCCTGAAACCTAGGCAGGTTTGCTGGAAGTTTTAACAAACAGTGGGAGTTTGAAGCTCTGGGAATAAGTTCCTTTAGGACTGTCTATCCAGCAAACTCCACTTTGAGGGCCTCTGCTCCAGAGGTAGCCTTGAACAGTGAGCCTTGGGGTTCAAGGAAGTGGCATATTTTGGTTGTGGAAGGGTCCCAGATTTTAGAAAAGCCTGTAGATAAAATCTGACTGACTCTGAGGTAGTCCTTGGAAAGGCCCAGGGAGTATCTGGGGTCTCATCTGGCCTGTGGAAAAAGGGGTTCTGGTGGCGCTATGGTTGAAGCATTCAGGTGCTAACCAAAAGGTTGGTGGTTTGAACTCACCAGCAATTCTGTGGGAGAAAGATGAGGCAGTCTGCTTTCATAAAGATTTATAGCCTTGGAAACCATAATGGAGCAGTTCTACTCTGTCCTGTATGGTCACTATGAGTCAGAAACAACTTGATGGCAGTGGGTTTTGGCCCCTGGCCTAGCCAGGCTACCCAGTAATAGTTCTTCCTGCCCCCTTGTTCCAGGTTGCAGTGTGTGTTGCAAGTCATCTTGGAATCAGCTACAGGACCTGTGTCGCCTGGCCAAGCTCTCCTGCCCTTCCCTCGGCATCTCCAAGAGGAACCTTTATGACTTTGAAGTCGAGTACCTATGTGATTACAAGAAGATTCGTGTGAGTCTGGGGGTGACTGTGACCCTCGGTGGTCTCAAAGGAGTTAGCTTCCTGATCTTTTGCCTCCCACTGCCTGCATCTTTTTCCAAAGGAAATATTTCTCCTTTGATACTAAAAGATATCTTATCCACATTTTATAGGTGGGGAAACTTAAGTGGTTTTTTGAGGGAGCAGAAGCCAGAATGAATCCCCAAATAAGTCTTTCTTCCTACCACCCTGGGAAGACAAACCAATTGCAAAGATTGAGAATACTTCTTAAATGTTGAGCCCAGGAGTGGAAATACTGATAGATAACAGTTACTGAATACTTGCATTGTGCTAGCCACTTCCTAAAAAACTCATTTAATTCTCCCTACTGTGAAGTGGGAACTGTTACCGTTGCTAGAAGAGGTTAGTTAAGGATAGTTAAGAGAACAGACTAGAGCCAGCATGTTTGGGTTCAAATCCTGGCTATTTAACCTTGGGCTACTTATCCAAACTTTCTGTACTTTCATTTACCTCATCTGTAAAATGGAGACCATAATAGTAATACCTAGTTTATATAGAATTGTGAGGAATAAATTAGTTAATACATGGAAATTGCTTGGAATAGGACCTGCTACAAAATGAATGCTAGAAATATGTTAGCCATTTTCTTATTTACAGATGAGGAAACTGGGCCAGCAAAGTTAAATGACTTGCCTAAGGTCACATAGCTAGGGAATGGCAGATCCAGGAATTGTACCTAGGATGTCAACTCTAGAGTCTGTGCTGTAGGAGGTGAGGGTGGAAGCAGCGGGACACAGTCTAGGCAGGCAATGATGGTGATGGCCGTGAGGATGGTTTGAAGTGGTTGGATTCTGGAAGTGTCTTGAAGTGGGGCTGGCAGGATTTGCTGAAAGTGGATGTACGGAGTGTGAGAGAAAGAAGAGTCAAGGATCACTCCAAGAATTTGAGCCCCAACAGCTAAAAGGATGGAGCTGATGTTTACTGAGATAAGAAAGATAACGAAGGGGGTAAGTTTGGGAGATTACATAAAAAGTTGGAATTTGGACAGGTAGTAAGTGGAAGAGTGAGATTTGAACCTAGTAATCCTCAGTCCAGAGCCCATGCTTTCTAACCACCGTATGGAGTCATTCTAGGAAAGGGGAAGGGGACTGGTGTGTGCATTATCCATCTGCTTTGGGGTGGAAAGTCCCACAAGGGCTGGGATAAGGATACTTATGGTATCCTTATGCCCTTGCCCACCAATAGGAACAAGAGTATTACCTGGTAAAGTGGCGTGGATACCCAGACTCGGAGAGCACCTGGGAGCCACGGCAGAATCTCAAGTGTGTCCGCATTCTCAAGCAGTTCCACAAGGACTTAGAAAGGGAGCTGCTACGGCGACACCAACGATCAAAGCCACCCCGGCACTTGGACCCAAGCTTAGCTAACTACTTGGTGCAGAAGGCCAAGCAAAGGCGAGCACTGAGGCGGTGGGAGCAGGAGCTGAATGCCAAGCGCAGCCACCTGGGACGCATCACTGTGGAGAATGAGGTGGACTTGGACGGGCCTCCGCGAGCCTTTGTGTACATCAACGAGTACCGTGTTGGTGAGGGCATCACACTCAACCAGGTGGCTGTGGGCTGCGAGTGCCAGGACTGTCTGTGGGCTCCTGCTGGAGGCTGCTGTCCAGGAGCATCACTACATAAGTTTGCCTACAATGACCAGGGCCAGGTGCGGCTGCGAGCCGGGCTGCCCATCTACGAATGCAATTCACGCTGCCGTTGTGGCTATGACTGCCCTAATCGCGTGGTACAGAAGGGCATTCGCTACGACCTTTGCATCTTCCGCACAGATGATGGTCGTGGTTGGGGCGTCCGCACACTGGAGAAGATCCGCAAGAACAGCTTCGTCATGGAGTACGTGGGAGAGGTATGGAGATGGGACAGTGCATGTGTGTGCAGCTCTTCCTACCTTGTGTTTCTAATGTGTGTACCCAGCTCTCATCACTGCGTGTGCCTTAAATATCCCTGCTTTCCCTGTGGGAAAGGCTTAGGGCTTTTAATCAAAATATAATAGGAACATCTGACAGGGCTAACATTCTAAGCTGGTACACACCAGTATAACCATTGAACTACTTCCAGGCTAGGTTGACTTGACAGGGGTAACTACTAAAGAGGAAAAGTGGGAAGTAAAAGTCAGGCAGCATTCCTTTCAGTAGGGATCAGGCTCCAGTGTGCCATGGGTTGGGCAGGGCATGTGGAGGCAGGGTTGCTAGCGCTCAGGCCAGCATGGCCTTGTGGGTGCCATTAGACAAGGTCAGCATGCACTGTACACTTTGAGTCTATAGCCCCAGCTTTCCACAGCTCTGGCTGCAGGTGCCCCACTCCTCTGGCACACTGTTGCATCCCTTGAAAAGGTACTTCCTTTTCTCATTTCACAATGGTACTATCTCATCACCAAGCATTGTCTGCCCTGAAAGGGCACTGATGGCTTGGAGTATAAGGTAGACACGCTTTGGACAGAGGTTGGACACCTCCTTCTCTAGGATACTGAGGAAGGAGTGTGTATTGGGACAGGGTAGCCACTGAAATAAACCACTCCCATATCTTACTGGTTTCTTTGGTAAAAGTTTGCTTGCTCATGTAGGAATCCATTGTGGGTATTTTTGTATGGGCATCCTTTCACACAGTGACTTGGGGACCTGGGCTCTTTCCCTTTGGTGCCTTTGCTGTGCTTTAGAGTCTACCACCAGATCTTCAGCATTCCCTAGGAGTGGGGTGAGTGTGTGGAGGATAGAAGGGGAAGTGTGTAATGGATCAGACCTGGACAGTGTACGTCACTTCTGCTCACATTCATTG